GTGCTAAGTAAACATGAATCGCGCCTGAAAGCGAAATTTAAAGAAATCTTCGAACCTATTCCACATATAGATGAACTACCCAATGACATTGTAGCAGAAATTCATTTGAAAAACGCGGAAAAGACGATCAAAACTCGTTCATACCCTTCTCCGTGGAAATACAAGGAGGCCTGGCAAATTCTTATACAACAACACCTCGACGCGGGCAGAATTCGACCATCCTCCTCCCCGTGCGCCTCCCCAGCTTTCATCGTCCCTAAAGCCAATCCAAACGTCTTACCTCGGTGGGTCAATGATTATCGGCAACTGAATGAGAATACCGTTACCGATTGCCACCCACTTCCTCGGATAGACGACATCCTCAGTGACTGCGCCAAGGGGAAGATCTGGGCAACGATTGATATGACAAACAGTTTTTTTCAAACTCGCATGCATCCAGACCACATCCCTTTGACAGCAGTTACAACGCCACTTGGCCTTTATGAGTGGCTGGTTATGCCGATGGGTTTGAAGAATGCCCCAGCAATCCACCAACGTCGTGTAACGCTCGCCCTACGTCCTTACCTTGGAAAAATCTGCCACATTTACTTGGATGATATCGTCATCTGGTCAAATTCTATTGAAGAACATGAAAAAAATGTGTCAACAATTTTGCAGGCTCTTCGCGAGGCACGTCTTTACATCAACCCTGAAAAGACAAATCTGTTCTGTCTCGAAATAGATTTCCTTGGCCATCACATCAGTGCCCATGGCATCGAAGCGGATGCAAAAAAGGCCGATCGTATTCTCGCGTGGCCACAACCAAAATCTGCAACTGAAGTGCGCGGTTTTCTTGGTTTGGTACGCTACCTATCTGCCTTCCTCCCCTCACTCGCAGAACACACAGGTATTCTAACTGAACTGACGACAAAGGAATCAGAAAAGAATTTCCCACTGTGGACACCGCGCTATCAATCAGCATTTGACGGCATTAAGTCAATCGTCACCAGCCGAGATTGCTTGACAACGATCGACTTGTCAAAACTACCAGAACACAAGATATTCGTCACGACGGATGCAAGCGACAAACGCTCTGGTGCAGTCCTCTCCTTTGGTACTACATGGGAGAGCGCCAGACCGGTCGCGTTCGACTCAATGACTTTTAAAGGCGCAGAGCTAAACTACCCTGTACACGAGAAGGAACTGTTAGCCATTATACGCGCCTTGAAAAAGTGGCGGGTGGACCTTTTGGGATCCCCATTTTTCATTTATACAGATCACAAGACCCTCGAGAATTTCACAACTCAACGGGATCTTTCACGGCGACAGGCACGATGGATGGAATTCATGTCACAGTTTGATTCCAAAATCGTTTACATTAAGGGCGAGGACAACACGGTCGCCGATGCCTTATCTCGATTACCATGCTCATCTACTTCGCAGGAAGCTGAATCTGCAGCGCGACACCCTTACGACTTTTGCCCAGATGATGACTCGGATGGCATGATTGCAAGCATCTTCGAGTGCAGTGACCAAGGGCCCATGGACACAGCGGAATCTCTGGCTAATGCCACGGCACCAATTAATTCCATTAACGCTACGCTGAAAATCGCAGCTGACGAAGCGTTTTTGCAGGACATCGTCAAAGGTTATGCAGAAGATCCATGGTGCAAAACCTTACCGTCTGCCGCCTTGAGCTTACCAAACTTACAGTGTCGTGACAATCTTTGGTACATCGGGGAACGTCTCATAATTCCCCGGACTAGTGACCTACGCGAAACCCTATTCCAACTGGCCCACGACTCACTCGGCCATTTCGGTTTCCATAAAACGTACGGCTCATTGCGCACGGCGTATTATTGGCCAAACATGTG